GTGCCACACAGCCTTAGGTATGTGGCAGAGGCAGCAGATGGGCACAGCAGCCGGGGCTCCTGTTGGGCATTCGGCATGGTCACGTACTGCTTCTCGCCCTGTCGTGGAGCCGAGGCCATTGCCTGACTAGCAGTGTTGTCCGTACAGATGTTTGTATTGAGCCTTTCCCATCTTCCAGTCTCTTAAAGTTGTCATTCAGAGCTCAAGAATCCAGTATTCAGTCCTCAGGTGTTAATGCCCTAGGAGGAGGTTCAGGGTGCATCTGGGCTGAAGCTGTACTGCTACCACGCATCTCTGGCCCAAGGATGTTTCAACTCCTTGGCCTCGGTTTTATTAAGTGGGGTTTGTTTGTTTTTGGTACCAGGATCGAACTCAACCTTGCATTTGGGAGGCAGGCATAGTGCCACTGAGCTAAATCCCCATCCCTATTTATTTTTATTTATTTATTTATTTATTATTTCTTTTTTGGTACCAGGGATGAAACTCGGGTCCTTGCGCTTGCAGAGCAGGCGGCAAAACCACTGAGCTAGGGGCCAGGGATTTAGCTCAGGGGTTTCGCTGCCTGCTGTGCAAGCGCAAGGACCCAAGTTCGATCCCCGGTACCAAAAAAAACCAAACCACTGAGCTAAATCCCCAGCTTAAGTGTTTTGAAATAGGCTGTTTACCATCCCCCAACAAAGAGCCTGTGACTGAAATGCCAGGAAGCAGACGTCGTGGTGTGTGCCACTTATCCCAGCTCCCCAGGAGGCTGAGGCAGAAGGTTAGCTTGAGTTCAAGGCCAGCTTCAGTGTCTTAGTCACTGGGACTTTGTACCCGGACACCCACAGCTTAAAGGAGAGGTTTATTTTGGCTCATGTTTCTTAGAGCTTCAGTCCATCCATAGTTAGCTGGTTCCAGTGCAGATGTGGCATGTGGTAGGGCTGCTGCAGAGGAGAATTGCTTGCCTCATGGCAGCCAAAAAGCAGAAAGAAGCTAGGAGCTGAGCAGGGAGATAGACCCTTCCAAGTTACACCCCAGTGACTGCCTCTTTGGCCGGACCCATTGCCAATAGTGAACCTCCCACAACCCCTGTCTCTGAGCACGAAAGGCCTTGGGGAAATCATAACAGTCCCGACTCAGCCAGACCCCTGTCCAAAAGCAAGAGACAAAAGGGAGAGAACCCCTGGAGTTCAGTCTCCTTCCCTCTGCTCCTGGGGGTAGTGACAGTCTGATGCCTAGGCTACAGTGACGCTCAGCTCTTAGCAGAGGGACTGAGTGCTGCCAGGTCCTCACACTGAGTGCGTGAAGCCTGTGTGGTGCTGGAGGAGGGGGCTGGCATTTGGTCAGGGAAAACCTCTTCATCTCCACTTGCTTCCCCTGCAGAGGGCGCTGGCCACTCTGAGGAAGCGGGTGTGTCCCCTGCTTACAGGCACCCCAGTGGCAGGGCTGGAAAGACCCAGCCTGGGAGCCCTCTGAGCACCGCCTTTGGGCCTCGGGGCTGGTCATCTTTGTACACAGGAACCCCGGTGTGGCGTTGGGGCCGCGATTGGGTGGCTCTGCGCCCTGGGAGGCCAGGAAACCAGTGTGCAAACTGCCTTTTGAGATAGGGTCTCACTGTGTAGTTCAGGCTGGCCTTGAACTCACTATATAGTCCAGAACTCAGAGCAGTTCTTCTGCCTCAGCCTCTCGAGTGCTGAGATTAAAGGCATACGCCACCACCTACAAGCCTGTAGGTTATGATTTTTTTTTTTTTTTTTTTGGTACCAGGGATCTAACTCAGGTCCTTGCGCTTGCAAGGCAGAACCACTGAGCTAAATCCCTGGCCCCTGCAAACTGCCTTTTGTTGTCTGTACACCCCCACACTTTTTTTGGCCCCTTTTCTAGGCAAGCGGAAAGCAGATTTGGGTTTTGTTTTACAGTGCTGGGGATTGAACCCTGACCCTCACACATGCTAGGCAAGCACTTGCCACTGTCCTTTCTCCTAAGGCAAAAGGCAGTGACCATGGTTGGGAAGCTCAGGGCTTCCTTGGGAGAAGTTTCCCATCCTGCCTGTCTCCTGCCTGGGCCATGGGCGTCACTCAGACAAGGTTGGGGCTGGGCGACAGCACCAGAGATGCTCTGACCTGCTGAGTACTCAGCTGTTTATTTATTGTTTTGTTTTGGTTTTTTGGTACCAGGGATTGAACTCAGGACCTTGCGCTTGCAAGGCAGGCTCCAGAACCACTGAGCTAAATCCCCGACCCAACTCAGCTATTTATTTAAACGAATAGACTCGGAAAATGTGTTTTGGCAATAGCTCCCCTTTTTTGGGGGGATACTGGGCATTGAACCCAGGGCCTTCTTATTGACCTACATTCTCAGCCCTTTTTAGTGTTTTTCATTTTGAAACAAGGTCATCCTATTAAGTTGCTGAGTTGCCCAGACTGGGCTGAACTTGGCATCCTCCTGCCTCACCAGGAGTTCAGTGCTTTCTCGGACCCCGGGCTTTCCTCTCCCTGACGCACCTCTCAGTGTGCAGTTTGTCCCCAGATCAGTTGCTGGAGGCTGTGCAGTGTAAGAAGAACAAGGAAGGGTGACACAACAGAGGCCAGTGACCAGGGGTCGCCCCCCTCCCCTTCTGACTGTCTCTGTCCATTTCTGTGCAGATTGGAGTCGGTGACATGGATGGCTTCCAGGGGGACACGGAGGAGGAGGAGGAAGAGGATGGCGACTGTATGATCATGGAGATCCCGGGTATTGGGGGTGAGAAGGGTTTCAAGCCCTCTGCTTCTCACTGGGACTGGAAGGAAAGCGAGGAGCACCTGTGTGCTCTGGTTCACTCTGTACATCATGAAGGTTGAGTTACAATACCCAGGAGGGGCGGATGTGGTGGTCCACACCTGCCATCCTAGCACTGTGGGAGGCTGAGGCAGGAGGGTTGCAGTTTGGAGTCCAGCCTGGGCCACTTAGTGAGCTAAGGAGACCCTGTCTCAAAATGAATAATTTTAAAAAGGGCTGGGGATGTAACTCAGTGCTGTATTTCTGAGTTCCATCCCCAGTACTTAAAAAAAGATTTGGGTGGGTTTCTGGGTAGGATGATCTGGGCAGAGGGAAGTCCAAGGTCCTGCAGTGAGCATAGCTGAGCAGGAGTGAGCTCAAGGAAAGAAGGGGTGAGACTCTGAGTGAGGTGCAAGCCAGGGCAGCACTTCAGCAGAAGGTGACTGGGCAGGAAGCCCAGTGGGTACAGCAGCCTCTCCCCCCTCCAGAGGCCCAGGACCCGTGTGGAACCACATCAGGAGCCGAAGGTGCCGTGGGGATGGACACCAGCGAAGGGCCGCTGCCCACGAGCCCGCTGGGCGCCTCCTGAGCAGCCATTGCTGTGTGTGGAACGATCCCCCTCGGACCCGATACTTGAACGTACTGCCGACTCCTGTGTAAAGAGCACTTTGTCCCACTTCACAGGCCTCTCGGGGTCTGGAAAGGTTTATATGGATTTATATGGATGCCTGACTAGTTCTTGACATTTGTAAAAAAATCTCCCTCCCCAAGCTGCATATTAATCTGCTCTTTCATAAAGCATTATTGCAAGGCATGACCCACATGGGCACTGCTAGGCCCTGAGGCACGCAGGTGCTGGGTCAGACGTTTGCATGTAAATGAATTGAATTGCCAGTCACCTGTGGCCTTGGCAGGTGCTGGCCGGATATGAAAGTGTATAAACTTGTTCTCTAGCCCTGACCTCCGCTTGTCTGTCTTCTGTCCCTACACTGGGTCTTTGGGTGTGTGTGCTGCCTGCAGCCCAGTGTGTGCACGGGAGGCTCAGTGATCTTAGAAAGTGTGTCCCCTCCTGCGACGGGGGTTGGGCGAGGAGCTGTGTTCTGAGTCTGGCTCTTGACATCTGTGCCAGGCACCTCTGGGGATGGTGGGTGTGCAGAGCAGCCTGGAGACATCTAAGCTCTGACAGCCCCAACAGCCAGCCTGCAGGGGCCAAGTTTGAGCCCTTTCTATATCCACAACTGGAGCGCAGACTTGTGGCCTCTGCCTGTTGCCCCCAAGAGAAGCTGGGGCTTTGTCTGCACGGAGCTCAGACTGACCAGACACAGCTGAGCTTAGGCAGCTTCTTCCTAGGCCTCACCCCAGCTACTTTCTCCTGGAACACCCTGACTCTCCCATGTGGCTCAAGGTGGGGCCCCCAGGGTCTCCTGTTGGGGAGTAGGACCCACCCCTAGAGTCCCCTTAGGCCAGTGCAACTGGGGCACTGAACCTGGAAGTGAGTCCTAGAACTATGTGGCAGAAGACGCAGGACCAGTGGCACGTCGGTCTCTGCACCATGCACACCCCTCGGCCAGCTGGGTCTCCAAGCTACAAGTCTGGCTGCAGATAGCAGTGGCAGGGACGTGCCGGAAGGGACTGGGCTGGCTTGGGGAAGAGCACAGCCAGCTCCTCCACATACTAGATGGCTTAAACAGCAGTTTGTAGCCTCACATCTGTGGCTTTTTGGGGTACAATGTCCTGCCAACCACAGTAAAACAGGGCCTGTGAGTCCTTTGAACTGTGTAAGTTCTGAGCCTGTCTCTAAGGGCTGATGGGCTGGAAACTTGGTCCCAGGGCGGCAAAACTGAGGTGTGGGCCCTTTAAGAGGGGGCGCCTGCTGGGAGGTGTCTGGGAGTTTTCCTCAGATGAGGAACAGGGAATTCCCACAGGAAGGGTGTCACCAAGGACAGCCCTGCCTGTCCCCATGGTCTGGCTCTATCTTTCCCCCTGACTTTCTGTCTCCTGAGCTCCCACCTGACAAGATCAGCCATAAGGGCCCTCATCAGGACGCTGCCAGCGCTGAGCCCCAGAACCTCAAACAGCTGACAAACTGCACTGCTTTCTGCTTTACCCACCCTTGGGTATGATGGTGACAAACGAGGAATAGAGTGCAAGGGGAGAGCCCTAGGCAAGGCTGGCTCAAACCTGGCCTTGGGATGCTGGGCGGCACGGCAGAGGGGAGCTCGCCCTGCCCCCTGTGTTGCGTAGTTTGAGTGACCACAGGAAGCTGTATTCAAATGTTTATTCAAGTTTATAAGTTAGAAGTTACTGATCTCTGTGCTGTCAGGCCAGCACTTCCCTACAGTTGTCATCAGCTCCAGTGCTGGACAGGCCACCTCAGTCCACAGCATGTGGGACCTGTGCCCGCACAGCTCTGCCCACCTGTCTGCCTCAGGGCTCCGGGACACTGGCTCAGGGCCTCCTTAACCCCCCTAAGCGACCAAGTCTCTGACGGTGAGCTTGGATCTACAGCATCGAAACCAGCCAGTGCCTCCCCTCCTGGGGGCTCGAACCAGGGCAGGTGTTTCCAGAGGTGGCTCACGGCTCGGGAGAGGGACTGGGACAGAAGAGCAGAAGACAGACCCAGGTGGAAACCAACTCTGCCTTTATTTCAGGAGAGCTGCTCGATGGCCTCCAGGAGCTCCGGCTTCAGGATGGAAGAGTCCAGCTCGGCCCCTGCGGCCCTGATGTCCTCCACCACAGCTGCATCCCACGAGAAGGTCAGGAGGGCCGAGGGCACCTGGTGGGGTGGTCAGATCATCACCTTGTTGCCAAGTGACAGCACAGCAGCAGGACACAGTGGGGCACAGTTGGTCATTCCCGCAGGGGGTCCCCTCCAAGGGGTGACTCAGGCTCAGGGGGCCTGGCCCTGGCTGAAGTCCTCAGGCTCCACCTCCACATCCTCCTTGATAAAACCCTGCATGTCTTTATTCCACTTGGTTCTGCTCCTCAGAGGACCATCACTCCCACTTCATAGGAGGGAAACAGCCACCAAGCAAGCACAGACTCAGCTGACATCACTTATCAAGTCAAGGCAACAGTGAGATGGGGGGGGGCAGTTTGTACCAGGTCCTTCACACAGCCACAGACTTAGCCCTTTTTCATTTTTCAAGATAGGGTCTCAGTCTCAAAATTACTCTAACTCAAGATGCTCCTGCTCAGCCTCCCGGAGTACTGAGATTACATGTGTGCACCACCATGCTGGACTGGAAGGCAGAATTCAAAGGAAGGAGCTGGGCCCAGGACCCCCTGCTAAGACCTGCCCCAACACTGAGGCCTCCTCTTCCTCTTCTGGGCCCAGCAACCCACCTTCCCGGGCTTGCTTCGTAAGTCAGTTTCCTCACCCCACTCACCAGTCCACACTCGTTCAAGGCCACGTTCTCATCCTCCACCAGTTTCTGCCCACCAGAGGCCAACAGCTCAAAGGGCAGCCAGTCGCTCTGCAGGGCCCCTCGAATGAACTCGTACAGTGCTGACAGCCGCTCCCGGGCATAGAAGGTCCCTGCGGGTTGGCACAGTCAGCATCAGGGCACAGGAGGGCAGCCAGACCCCCCGCCACCCTGCCCCTCGGGCCTGCATACCCTGCAGCAGGCAGCCGTCTGGCAGGCGCACGCGCAGCACTGTGTAGTTGTACTTGCGCAGATCCCGCTGCTCCTCCTTCTCCCTCATGGCTTTAGTGCGCAGCACACTCAGCCGCTCCACCGCATCCGCTCTGCGAGCACAGAGCCTGGGTGTGAGGCGGCCGCTGGCCCAGGACCCCTGCCCGCCGGCACCCCTACCTACCGGAGCCTCTGCTCTCGCTTGAGCTCCTCCGCTGTGAGGCTGAAGAAGTCCCCGGGCAGGTTGAAGTGTGAGGCCAGTGGCGAGGGCCGGAAGACGCGGAGCTGTCGGTCTAGCTGGGCCCGCACGGGCTCCCCCGCCAGCAGCTGCTCCCGGTGCTGCACCAGGTTCTGCGGCTGTGCCCGCGCGGCCTCGCTCAGCACGTAGAACTCCTCTTCCGCACCTTCTGCGTGAACACACACAGGTCACAGCACCGGCCAGTGGCCCCGCCTTCAGCTTGGGCTGCTGGTCCCCTCCACTCACCCTGGTCCGGGACGGGCAGCAGCATCTTCTGGAATCCAATGGCCTCAAAAAATTCCTGGGTCCCTTCCAGGCAGGTGATGCGCTCCTGGGTGTGGGGCAGAGGTCATGGGACTTGAACTTGGGTCCTTGCACTTGCACAGCAGGTGGCGAAACCACTGAGCTAAATCCCTGGTCCTGTTTTGTCTTTTGAGACAGGCTCTCAGTGAGTTGCCCAGGCTGGCCTCCAACTCACTTCTGCCTCAGCCTCCCGAGTGCTGGGAGGACTGGTGCGGCCCACCATACCCGGCTCCAAACATGCTGTTTTAGGAGCAGGGCCCGAAGCCACCTCCAGCGCCTCACAGAGCGTGGCTGGTGCCCCAACAGCGCAGGCACCAGGGGCCAGGAGCAGGCTCCAGGGAAGGGCGCCCCATGCTGCTATCAGGGTGGAAGCAGGGTGGCTGCACCCCAATTTTCCAGGGAGACAAGTCTGTGTCTGCATGAAACCCTCCCCCGCTGGGTGTGTCCTCAGAGAATTCAAACTCCAGTCACATGGCTGGAGAGGAAGAGCCACCCAGAACCCCAGTGCTCAGGCTGGGGTGCAGCCCACCTGGAACACCTTGTTGTGCAGCTTGATCCTCTGGTATTTCTCCTCCTCCGGGTGCAAGTGGATGTTGTCCAGGTACCTGGGGGGAACAGCACAGGGCACAGGCCCACTGGTGCCTGGGCTTCTGAACCTCCCCTTGGGGTTAGAAGTCACTCTGTGGATGCCCCATAGAGCAGATGGCTCCACCAGGGTCCCCCAGTAGTCCCCCTGCCCTTGAAGGCACCAACTGACCCAGCAGGGGAGAACTGCACCAGCCAGACATCGCCTGGGGCTGGTGAGCAGCTGGCAGGCCCAGGCCCACCTGACCTGCTTACCAGACCCTGTCCCGTTCACATGTCCCCTGGATGCCCTGCAAGGCCACTCCCAATTCCTCAGAGCCTCACCAACAGATAAACTGAGGCACAGCTGGCCCAACCCCTCCCTAGGGCTCACTCACTTGGCAATAGTATCCACGGCGAGCTTCACCTTGTCCTGGTCTCTGTTGAATGTGTGTATCTTCATGATGGAGGCGGCCACGGGGTTGGTGGAGAAGTGCTAGGGGAGGGAGGCAGGCTGAAGTCCCAGCCCATACTGCTGCCTGGTGACAGCAACGGTGCTGGTGGTGCTTTGGGGCAGGGCAGTGCTTAACTGAAACTATGCCCAGGCTCTGGCTTCAGAACCACAGTAACTCCAGCCCTGAGCCCTTGAGCGTGGGCACCCACACCTGTCACCACTGTGCAGCCTGTCAGGCCACGCTCCTGGCTGTGGGATCATGATACACATGGAGGTGGAAAGTCCCTCACAGGGTGCACAGCAGGCACCAGGCAGAGGGGACACACATGGGTCTGTGACCCCTGATGTCTAGACAGAAGTGGGGGTCCCCCAGTTCTGGGCCTACCTGCTCCCACGGAGGAGGGGCAGTCACAGCTGGAGGCCTCAGGTGCCAGCAGGAACCCAAGGACAGGGCACCTGAGGCCACAGCTATACCATGGTCTCCCCTGCAGCCCACAGGCCAGCCAGGGCAGTGACCCAGGCTGGAGGACAGAGAAGTGGGCAGCAGCCTGTGGGGATCACACTTCACATCTCTCAGCACAGGTGCTTCTGCTAAGGAAAACTGAACAGGTCTGGGCGAGGAGGAAAAGCTCCACACCCTGTACTCTACCTGGGGATGCGTTCTCGCTGGGTTAGGGATTCCAAACATTCAAACAGGCAAAATAACAGAACACAGAACAAAAGCAATGCTAGGAAAAGCATAGAAGAGTCATTTTAGTGTGAAGGTAGGAAAGGCATTCCTCAGTAGGACCCAGAAGTCCCTGCAGCTCCTGGGGTCTGGGGGCAGCCTGGGCACCAGGGGTGAGCACACACCAACAGAATGGCCTCTTTGATGTGGGTGTCCCGCTGGTCCCTCCGCAGGGTGGCCCCCGTGAGTGGGCAGGTGAAGTATACACCAGACACTGGCAGCTGGGTAGAATCTTCCTCTTTGGGCCCAGGAACCTGGGGGCAAAAGTGTCTGAGCCTGGGCTGTGGATAGAGCCCACCCAAGCCACAGTGAGGAGCATGGCCCTTAGGACAGACACTGCCCCCAGCGCCATCCCTTCCACTTGTTAGCCAGGGTCACCCTGGTCAAGTGGCCGAAGCCCTTCCTCTAAGGGCTTCTTGGTGTCCTGGTCTGTAAAACGTCCCTGCTTTCTCTGCTGCCTCATAATTCAGCAAGGGGGGGAAGAGAAACCCCCAGCAACTGCATGCCCCGCACAACCCTGATCTCGCCCTATGCCTGAGGTCCAGGTCTCTTGTGTTCTGGAATTTACACACAAACTGTGGTTCCACCCCTGCCCTGGTAGTGCCAAGGTGTGTGACTGAGGACAGCCAGCTTACCCCTCTGAACCTGAAACAAAGGAGCTACCCCACCCACCGGCTTCCAGGGGCTATAGGGAGGAACCAGGAGAGCTACCCTGGCTGGTGTAGCCTCCCCTCCCTACAGTCTTCCTAACAACATAGGGCAGCCCAGCCAATCTCTGCCATTCAGTGTGGGGCTCACAACTGTGCTGGAGCCCCGGGGCGGAAACAGTGGGTCACCTGCTCTGCACACAGCCCTCCCACACGTCCTGCAGTCTGCAGGATGCCACCAGTAGATCTTTACCTCATTGGTCCCTGGGGCCACGGGGCTGCCCCTGACAGTTGCTTCTGCTTCAAGTTCTTTCCTCACTGAAGAATACAGGGAGGGGAGAAATGGGATAGGATGAAGGCCCCTGCCCTGACCCCTGGCTAGGCCTGTGATCCAGCCAGCCCACTCCCTGGCCCATGCTCCTAGGGGCCAGGGGCCAGTTCTTCCCACGGGCTTTGCCTGTGTCTGACCTTCACTCTCCTCCTCCAAGGCCCAGCACACCCTTTCTCAAGAATTGTCCCTGTCACCTTGCCAACATGTCAGACACACTACTGCCCATGCCACTGCATGGCCTCCGTGGACCTCCTCCCAGCTGTGAATGAAACTGCCCTAGAGGTGCTGGTCATGTTCCCATTTCCTTCAGCTCAAGCACCAGATGCCACACTTTCGCCTAAGGGCAGCCAACTCTCACCCTGGTTCCGGATGGAGTCCTGTGATGTAGGACCTCGGGCCCTGGGCTGCTTCTGCTCCAGCCGGGCCAAGGCAGCAGCAGCTGCCATCTGTGCCTCATCAGTGGGTCCCTGGCGGCGCTGATGGAGGGCTGGCTGGCGCGCCTTTTCCTTGGGAGCCTTCTCCCTGGACAGAGACCAGCGGTGAGCAACCTCCTGAGGTGGCCAATGAGGGATAGCATTTGCTCCTGCTAGCTCCTCCCACCTGCCCCATCAGACACATATGTCCCTGCAAACAGGCTTGCACCTGGCTTTCCGGCTCCAACACAGGCAGAGAGGCCATGGAGGCAGGAGATGGTGGTTCTGCCCCTTTGGACAAGTCTTGCCCCAGCCAGGTCTCTGCATGCCAATCTATATAAAAGACTATAACGGCTGGGTACAACAGCACATGCCTGTCATCCCAGTACTCTGGGAGGCTGAGCCAGGAGGGTCACGAGTTCCAGCCTAGTCCAGGCAGCTTAACAACTTAGTAAGACCAGGTCACAAAATATCAAATATGTGTGCACTACGCACTCTCAAGGTGTTCAGGAACCATCTTTGCACAAACCTGTGGGAGTTCGCAGCAGTTAGGGCAATGTGGCCCCTGTCACGGCACCCAGGGAACCTCCATACCCCTAGCACTTTGGTCCATACTTGTCCCCAGGCCGTGATGTGACAGAGCTCTTTCATCTCCTGTCTTCCCAAATGGTAGGCAGCATCAGCCAGCTGCAGGATCCTCTCCTGCCATCCCTGGCTCTTCCGCCTTACCCTCCTCATCCCTGGGGACCGTCCCAGACCCAGGAGCTCTGCCATCTCTACACTAGGATGCACCTCAGCTCTGAGCTGACCGCTATATCCCTGAACTCCACTCAGATGCTAGGCAGCAATGTGCCTTCCCAAGCCTACCTCCCAACTGTCCTCCGAGGAACAGGACCTCTGGGTGGGGAAGGTGATTCCTGGAGACAGAGTATCCCAGGACACCTCAACGGACCTGGCAGGGACTCTCCTGCACCCTGGGCAGCCAGAGGGTCCTTCTGAGACCCAGGCTAAGGCCTGTCCCCCCCGCCATGGCATCCATGGCAAAACCCTAAATCCTCCTTCCCTCTCTCCACACTGGGCTCCCCGCTGTCTTGCCACAGGCCAGTCCAGCAGGTCCCCACTGCAAAGTCTTTGTGTTCCCTGTGCCTTCTGCCCAAGATGCACCACCTGGGGTTCTGGAAGGGGTAGGGGCTGGGCTGCTGCAGATGTGGAGAACTTACCAATGTCCACATGCCAAACCTCACCTCATTCCAGCCACTGCTCAAACGCCACCTTCTCAGAGAGGCCTCCTGGACCAGCCCCCAGACAAGTCACCTTCACCAGCCTATGCTGTCAGTCACCGAATCCTGACAGGCACCTGCCCCATCTGCACCCAGTCTCCCCAGGGGTCTCACTCAGACGCACCCCTCACACACCAGGCCCCCAGCTCCCTGCCTCTCCCAGACCTGCATGGCCCTCCCAGCAACATACCACTCACTCCTTTCAGGACATCATCACAGGCTTTCTCAGACCCTTTCCCATCCTCCCAAGTGGGCCAGCGCCAGAGCCCAGGAGCCCTATTTCTGGAGACACTAAACCTCACGTGAGACCCCAGGGCCTGGGCTGTACCTGCTCCTCCAGGCTCAGCCCAAAACTCTGGTCCCCCAGATTCTCCAGAACCACCTGGCCCCCCTCTTCGCCTGGAGGCTTCCTCTCACCATCTGCTTCTTCCTCCAAGGTGTCCTACTACTACCAACTCCCTGCACCTCTACCATCCTCATCTCCCACCTCCCACCGGCCCCTTCCCATCCTCTTCTCGCCCCACTCCCCAGCAGTTTCCTCTGACGTCCAAGCCCCGCCCCACTCCCACCCCCGTGTCTCCCCTCCCCCCACTCCCACGCCCCATCCCCCCTAGCCTGCTAAACAACTCTCCATTCTCCTAATCCCACGCAGGGCCCCCTCTGCTCCTTCCTGAAGTATCTCCACTTCTACGCTCACCGTGGGTCTCTCTAGACCCATCACGCTCCACCCCCCGACCACGCCCCCCAAAGCCTCTGCCCAACCCTGCTCCCGCGCCCCCAAGGTACCCTCTGCCCCTACTCCCATGCTCCGCCCCCATCCCCACCCCCAGACCTCCCCACCCCCCAAATCTGGCCGCCCCTCCTCACCCCGCCCGTGAGCTCTCACACTCTTCTCCCGCCCAGCTCCGCCTGCCTCGGGCCCCTACGTGGTCACTCACCCCACAGAGTCTGTGAGTTTCTGCCCGGGCCCCGCGCTCTTGAACTTGATGTCAGCCTTGATCTCCTGGAAAAATTTCTTCATGGTGGCGGCGGCGGGGGGGCGCGGGGGTGGGGGTGGGGCCCAGTGAGGGCCTAGTCAGGGAAGAACCCGCAGGACCAAACAACCGGAAAGAAAAGTACCTCAGCGCCGGAAGTCCCTCCTCCGCGCAGTGGCCCACGTGACAATCACCGCGCCGCGCCTCTCTAGCGCTCCGCGCTTCGGTGGCCCGAGGTATCCGCTCTGCACTCTGGGGCCGCGTCTCAGTGATCGTTTCAGGAATTCGTTGCCAGGACGACGAGCGGGTTTCCCTCTGCGTCCTTTGCTGGCTTCCAAGGCGTTGGCAGAAGAGGGAGGGACAGGCCAACTGCCGCCCCAGGAAGAAAGCGCGGGCCCTGCCCTTTACCCTGCTGAAGAACCTTCCTGGCTCCCCAGCGCTTATGCAACAAAGTTCCAACTCAATAAGAGGACATTAAAGACTCCCACGACCCACTGTAGTTTTACCCCAGTAACCACTCACACACACCTTGTTTTTGTCTTTTTTTGTTTTTTGGTACTGGAAATGGAGCCCATGACTTTTCCACGCAGGGACAGCCCAAGCCCTTTCTTATTTTTCATTTTGAGACATGGTCTCACTAAGTCGCTATGTTGTCCAGGCAGGTTTCAAACTTGCAATCCTCTTGCCTCAGCCTCCCAGAATGCTGGGATCACAGGTGTGCGCCACCACGGCCGGTTCCCACGTACCTTGTTGAAGAGAATGCACCAATCTGGGTCCTGGGGGCCCACTTGGGCGGAAATGAGCCAAGACAGAAATGAGCCAACGGAGGCACCCAATCCTATAACCCAGTAGAGGGGTTATAGGAAGACAGGCCGACCCTGAGAAAGAGGAGGCCTCCTGGCGAGGAGACTGCACCAAGCCTTGAAGGGCGTTCTCTAGGAAATTGCAGAGGCCAAGATGGCAGGGGTTGGGTATCAAGAGTAGACATGAAGGATGGAGGGCTCTGATCCCTAAGGGCCTTCAGAGGAGAAGGTCGGAGATTCTCCCGAAGCGTTGAAAGGAATCTCAGAAGAAAACAGAGCACCCCAGATTTTAATCATCTAAGGCTTTGGTTTCTTGTCTATGAAATCGGGATAAGAATAGCCTAAGTCCCGTAGGTAGGGATGAAGTGCCATTAGACAGTTCTCAATAAACGTCAGATGGTATCATGATTTACGGCTTTAATAATACTTGAGTGTCTCCTCTGTACCACAGTGAAGAAAACAGAAAACTCCCTGCCCACCTGCACAATTTTTTTTGGAGGTGCAGAGAAGGAAGGCATACATAAAATTGAACTCAGGGCAGAAAACGTTATAGGGTAGAGCACAGCACAGTAATAGAGTCAGGAACAGTAAAAGGACATTTTTTTTGTTTGTTGTTTGTTAAATTTCCCAAGCTGGGCTCACACTTAAGATCCTCCGGTCTCTGCCAGGTATGATGGTCCTCACCTGTAATACTACTGCTCAAGAGGCTGAAGTAAGAGGATTGCCATGGAGGCCAGGCTGGACTACATAGTGAAATCATAGCAAGACCTTGTCTTAAAAATAAAGATCCTCCTGCCTCAGCCACCCAAGTAGCTGGAATTACAGGTGTGCCAGCATGACCCAGCCCAAAAGGACATGTTTGAGGCCACCAGGGAAATTTGAATACATCTGGCCATTAAATGTTAAAAAGGAGCTGTTTCACTGTTTCACAGTGAAAATGGCAGGGCTATGTTTATAAATATATTTTATAAGAGATGTGGGGTTTTGGGGGGGGGGTTGGTACCAGGGATCAAACTCAGGAACTTGCACTTGCAAGGCAGGCACCGGAACCACTGGGCTAAATCCTCGGCCCAAGAGATGTGTTTTAATGTGCTTATCTGGAAAATATGCTTTAATATGCTTTTAAAATACTCCTGAAATAAGCTGGGCATAGTGGTACAGGCCTGTTGTCCCAACTACTCAGGAGGCTGAGGCAAGAGGATTGCAATTTCGAACCCATCCTTGTCAACTCAGTCACTCAGCCAGATCCTGTCTCAAAACTTTAAAAAAAAAATTTTTTTTTAAGGGATGGAGATGTAGCTTGGTGAGAAGGCTCTGGATTCAATTTGTTTGCTTTTTCAGACAGGTTTTTGCTATGTAGTTCAGGCTGATCTTGAACTCACTATGTACCCCAGGCTGCCCTTGAACTCACGGTAATTCTCCTGCCTCAGCTTCCCAAGTGCTGGGATTACATGTGTGTGCCACCATATCTGGCTTCAATCTCAATTACTGCCAAAAAATTCCAGAAAAAAATACACATACACACTTAGGCAGGAATTCATTTGGATCCATTTTCTCTGTGGTATAGAGTAGAAGAGGAGAACAGTATTCCCCAAACATTTACTGAGCACCTGCAACGGGACATGCCCTTCAAATTCCAGTGAGAAACAAGACAGTGATGGGGATTCTTATTTATTTTACTTTGGGACAAGGTCTCTTAGTGTATTCCTTAAAGTGCCCTTGAACTCCTGGATTCCAGCAATCCTCCTGCCTCAGCCTCCCAAGTAGCTGGCACTACATACAGGTGTGAACCACTGTGCCCAGAGGACTAATGCTCTTAAGTAGACAAGTCAGGTCAGATATTTAGTAGAGACCTGGAAAGAGATGAGGAACCTAACCATGGGCCATCTGGGAAAAGTGTGTTCCAGACAGCACATGAAAAGGCCCTGAGGTGAGAACTTGTTCATTTACAGAACACTATGCCCAGAGTAGGGAAAGGAGGGCCCAAAGAGACTTCTCTGGCATTTCTGTGCCAGAGAGAGAGAGCTCGAAAGAGAGAGAGAGGAGAGAGAGAGAGAAAGAAAGAGCACCTCAAGGAGACCTATTAACAATTGCTGCATAACAAATTATTCCTGAATGTAGCTGCTTCAAATAACAAACAGTACTCCTAGTTTCTGTCCACCAGGAATCAGGAATGCAGTCAGGTGTGCCAGTGCAGGCCTGCAATCTCTGTGCTTTGGGTGGCTGGGAGGATTGCAAGTTCAAGTGCACCCCGGGCAATGTAGAGAGATCCTGTCTCAAGATAAAAAAAATAAGCTGGGTGAAAGTCCCAGTACTGAAGAAAAATAACAACAAAAAGAGGAACAGACCTGGGAGTGGTGGTGTATGCCTGTAATCCCAGAACTGGGGAGGCTGAGGCAGGAGGATCACCATGAGTTTGAGGCCAGCCTGAACAGCATAGTGAGATCCTGTTTCAAAAAAAAAAAAGGAGGGACAGGAGGGTGAGAGGCAGAAAGAGTCTGAAGACACCCTGCTGCCAGCTCTGCAGATGGAGGAAGGGGCCGGCCTGGGCCTCAGGCCCCTCTAGGAGCTGGGATAGGTGGGACCCAGATTGTCCCTGGGGCCCCTGGGAGGATTGTGGTCCTGCCTAACCCTAACCCTAACCTTTGCTATTAACCTTGTCAGATCTACTTCGGACTTCTGACCTACACAGAGATTAAGAATAAATGTGCACAGTTTATGCCATTAAGTTGATGATAACTTGTTACCGCAGCCGTAAGAAATAAATGCAACCCTCAGGCCACTCACCCTAGGAAGTATCTACTGACATTTCCCCCTAAGTTACAGGGGTCTCAGTGTTTCAGACAGATGTGTCCACACGCTCCAGGGAGCAGGGGGAGCCTGCTAGACAAGCACTTCAGCACTAAACTGCCGCTAGCCATTTTTATTTGGAGATAGGATCTTGCTAAATTGCCCCGGATGGCCTCAAACTTTCAATCGTCCTGCCTCAGCCTCTTGAGTGAGCATCTAGGATTAGAGATGTGCACCACCACACTTGGCTTGCAATACACTTTTTTTTTTAATGGTAGTGGGAATGGAATCCAGGGCCTTTGTATCGAGTTATATCCCCAGCCATTTACTTGTTTATTTAATATATTGGTTTTCGGAGATAAGGTCTTGCTGTGCAGCCCAGGCTGGCCTGGGACCCATTAGGTAAGCCAAACTGGCTTAGAACTCAAAGCAGTCCTCCTGCCTCAGCCTCCCAAGTGATAGGATTACAGGGGTGCCCTGCACACCTGTATGCCTGGTTTTCTTTTCTTTTTTTCTTTGTTTTTTGAAACTGGGTTGCACTGTCTCTGAGTTGCTTAGGCTGGACTCAAAACTTCCAATCCTCATGCCTCAGCCTCCCAGAGTGTTCTTTTTGTGTGTGTGTAGATTCCTAGTGTATTAGCTAGGGCTGCCCCAGCAAAATACTATATACTGTGTGGCTTCAATAATAGATGTTTTCTGGCCTGGGGATTTAGCTAAGTGGCACCGTGCCTGCCTTGTAAGTGCAAGGTCCTGAGTTCGATCCCCAGTACTGCAAAACAAAACAAACAAACAAACAAAAATTGATGTTTTCTCATCGTTTGAGAGGCTTGAAGTCTGCGGCTGTGGTCCGGGTCTGAGGAGAGCTCTCTTACCAGCTTGCAGAGGCAGGGATGCCTTCTCACATTGTCTTCACATTGCAGAGATCACTCTTGTGTCTTCCTGTAAAGGCACCTATTGGAATGGATCTGCCTCTAATCTTACACCATTATTTAGCCTTAATCACCTCTTTAAGGCCCTATGTGTAATATGGTGGTATAGGTTTGGGGGGTAGGGCTTCAACATATGTTCTGGGGTAGACATAACCCCAAGGCACCTAGGAATGGAAATTCTAAAAAAAAAAAAAAAGTTTAAACCAGGTGTGGTGGCTCATGCTCATAACCCCAGAATTCTGGGAGGCTTAGGCAGGAAGATGACAAGTTCAAGCATGTAGCTCAGTGCAAAGGTCCCGAGTTTAATCCCTAGGATCCCCTTATACACATGTACTGTCTTTGTACTCTGAGATCAAATCTCCAATGGTTTTCCAAGAAGTCTTTTCTTTCTTTCTATTTGTGGTGCTGAGGATCAAACCAGCACCTTGTGATTGCTACCAAAGGGAGCTACACCTGCAGCTTCAACAAGTTAAAGTGAGGTCAAGGTCATCAGTGGATCTCACTAGCTTTACCTCCTTTCTGCCACCCACCACTCAGTCATCATACAGTTTGCCTTTGCTCTCCCCTCTGCCCCAGTATTCTCCCAGGACACTGGCCTGGCTATGTATTGGCTTCTGCCTCCCCTCCCCCTCCCTCTCCCCCTCCCCTTCCTCTCCCCTTCCTCTCCCCTCCTCCTCCTACTTTTTGCGGTGGTGGGGGTGAAATCCAGGGCCTCATGTCTATCACTGACCCACACCACCACCCTTGTATTGGCCAACTTCTAATAGTCCTCCAAGTCTCTGGTTAAACTCACTTCCTCCAGGAAGCCCTCAGTAGTGCCCAAGGATAGACAAATGACATCCATAATTCAACCTTTTTAAAAGCACTTTATTGGTTCTTTTTATTGCTTAAAATGAATCCTTGCCAGGGATTTAGCTCAGTGGTTCCACCACCTGCCTCAAAAGTGCAAGGTCCTGAGTTCGATCCCTGATACAAAAAAAAAAAAAAGATAAAATGAATCCTTATTTTATTTTATTTTTGAGGTAGGCTCTCACTATATAGTCTAGCCAGGTCTTGAACTAACTATGTATTCAGGCTGGCTTTGAACTCATGGTGATCCTCCTGCCTCAGCCTCTCCAGTGCTGGGAGTACAGACATGTGTAACCATATCTTCCTCAAAATGAATCCTAATTTTAAAAAGAAGAGAAAAAACATGTCTTGAGTTCCTGGAAGCCAGACTCCCTGTGTCAAAATATCCTAGTATTTTCTATTGCCAGGCATAGTTTCAAGTGCCTTTGGTGTGTGGGGAAATCACTCAATCCCTGAAACCTTATGGGATCGGTACCACTGTGAGTTCCATTTTACAGATTGGGAGACTGAGACACAGAGGTGTTAATTTGGACACGCCAGGTTAAATTTTTTTACGAAATTAACATGTATATTGTGTATTTTGTGGCTTTAGCACTTAGTCGGAGCTCAGTAAAACTTTCATAAGTGAAAAAAATCAGTATTCTGACCATTTGCGCCTATTTAATCTAAAGAGCTCCCCGGAACTCGGCCCCTTCCTTAAGCCCCACCCCCTTGAACTGGCAGTGGTTCATCCTTGTTTTGTGTTGAACCTTTCCTCTTTTGACAGCCAAAGGCCAACCCCCGACCAGACCCCGCCTCCTTCCCGTAGCCAATGTATGCCTTTTACCTTGAGGCGCTTCTCTGCCGGTACCTAATCACCTGCTTTCCTATATTAAACTCCCTATCAGGAGCAGTTAAGCTGTCAATAACCCGACTCCTACGTTGATTGGGCCTTATTTTCTGTGCTATCCAATGGTCTGCCCCCTATTAAGGAACCTCCTGCTGTGGCGTCCTATGTCCCGCCCCCTCTTTTAAACTCCACCCCTGCACTCCTTGAGCGCCTTGCCTTGGTTGAGCTCCTCAAACCTTTCCCCTTTCACCTCCCATAACCTCCTCCCTCTCTCATTAAATTTTTGGGTCACGCCCCTCAGTTCGGCCCGTTATCCAATCCCGTTAACTTGCTCTGCACCAACCTCTATTGCCGTTGGTCCCCGCTCTTCTCTGTCCCCGCACGTGGTCCTGAGTGACGGCGTCTCTGGCCTCTGCCTGCAGGAGGGCGGAATTTCCGGCGACACGGAACCCAATAAGTACGGTCCTGCCCGCTGCCTGTGCAAACGCCTCCGCCCCCTCGGCGTCTGACTCCCGCCCCCGGCTTCGCCTCCCGGTGCTGTAGCTGCCGCCGCCACAGCCGCCTCAGCCGCTTCCCGCGGCCTGGGCCTCCCGCCGCCAGCATGCCGCACGCTTTCAAGCCCGGAGACTTAGTGTTCGCCAAGATGAAGGGTTACCCGCACTGGCCGGCCCGGGTGAGGCTGCGCGGGGGATGGGCCGGGGGGTGGGGCAGCGGAGACCCCGGGCCTGAGGGGCCGCGCCGCGGGGCTCTGGGGTCTGAAGTTTCAGTGGCCGCGTCCTGTGGTTCTGGGGGCGTCGGAGGTCTGGGGGGGTCCACGTCCTGGGGTTCTGAGGTTTGAGGGGACAGCGTCTTGGGGTTCGGGGTGGGCTGGAGATCTGGCGGGCCGCGTTCTGGGGTTTGCGGGGGCCAGAAGTCTGCAGGGCAGCATCCTGAGGTTCTGGGGCATTCCGAGGCCTGAGGGGGAAGCGTCCTAAGGTTCAGGGAGGTCGGAGATCTGAGGGGTCTCATTGTGAGGGGTCCGAGGTCTAAGGGACCCTATTCGGGTCCTGGGGATTCTGGGGTGTTTGGAAGGTTGGGGCTTGGGGAAAGAGGTCCTGAGACTGGTGTTCATGAGGTTGAGGGATTACTGTGGAGTTTGAAGGAGGTGGCCCGCCAGCAGAGAGTTGGGGGACCTGGGATTCAGGAAAGGGGTCAAATGTGACGGGAGTGTTTGTCCTCAGTTGAAGGACCTCGTTGTGGGACCCAGAGAAGCCTAGTGGCAATGGGGGTGGGGATGCGATGCAGTGATGGAGGAGGGTTGAGGGTCAAGGCCGAGGCGAGGAGCTGAGGGTGTCCAGCAGTGGAGATGGGGATGGGGACTTTGTTTACAAGGTCACTAGGACCATAGGCTGGAATAAGGCTCTTTGAGGGGCCCTGGGAACTGGCCCCTGTGAGGACCGGGTACCCCATAGAGGAGGCTGCAGGCCCTGCTTGGTGGGGGAGGGGTGGTTCTCCCTGGTGCTTAAAATCAGAGGGGAGCTTCAGGCTGAGCCCCTGAGGGAAGGGGGCTGGGCCATGCGGACTTGGGGTTCCCCTCTGGAGGAAAGGAGTCCAGAGGTTATCCAGGTCTGAAAGGGGTCTCAAGCCTGGGAGTCAGGTGTGCAAGTGGGTGGGGTTCCAGTCCCTGTCAGGGGAGGGCCATTGTGCAGTGGGGACCCAGAGGCTTTTATCATCCTCAGGTCTTAGGACTCCAGTCACCCCAAGGATGAAGGAATTTGGGGTGGAGTGGGGAGGAAGGGTCAATGGAGAGGTGGGGCTGAATAGGGGTCTGGATAGTGGCGGCTCAAGAGGTGGCTGGGGGGGGGATGAGAAGGGGGATATTGTAGTCCGATGTTGGCCTCCAGGGGTCAAGGGCAGAGCCTGGGCAGGCAAGAGGAGGGGCAGTGCCTGAAGGGATGCAAGAGTGGTCCTCAGGTTGACTCAGTCTGGGGTGCCTCTGAGGGAAGGGGAATGCTCCACCAGGATGCCCGGCCCAAGATGGAAAAAATAGCTCAGGGAAAACTGAGGGCGAAGGAAGCGGGATTGAGTGGGGCCGGGAGGATTCCAGCAGCCACGCAAAAGTTGGAGAAGAGGGTGGGGAAGGGATTATATGGGACCTATGCACTCACTGCAACCTGGTTTGAATGTGCTCATTTTCTTGGGGGAGACCAGAGCTCTGAAACTTTCCTCCTTTTCCCAATTCTCTTCTTTCTCAAGCACTAGCTTTTCCCTCCCCTTGCCCCCCTTCTGCAGCTCAGAGAGCCCTGAACATTTCCAAGCACCTGATTGGAAGTGAAGGGGCTGCTGGCCTCCTATGGGGAGGTGATTGACAGCTGCTGGAGCCCATGGCCTGCAGGGAGAGGGTGGGACTTCCTGGATGCTCAGGCCTGTCTTCTGCAGCCCCCTCCTCACCCTCTGCATCTTTGGAGCTGCCAGCTGCATCCTCTGCGACCCCCTACCTGATTGCCTCTTTGCTGGAGGGGTCCGGTGGAAGGGTCCTGGGAGGTCCTAGAAGCTGAGTTTGGCCCCTCCCTCTGGTTGCATCAGGGGGCCTTATTTGGCTTTGGTCAGGTGAAGCACCTGCCTTGCAGCCAGTTTTCTGTGGAGTGGGGAGATAGCTGGGAGGGGGACAGGTTTGCAATGGGGGGTGCACAGAAGAGTGCAGAGTCCCATTTGGGCGGTGATGTGTCTTGCTAGGCTGAAGGCCTCTCTTTTCCCAGCGTGCTTTTCTCCAAGCACCTTGGCTGGTTTCTTGGGTCAGTATGTGAAGTTACCTCCTGGCCCTCACCCTAAGCCACCCCTGACTGGCCTTTCACTACAGATTGATGACATTGCCGATGGTGCTGTGAAGCCCCCTCCCAACAAATACCCCATCTTCTTCTTTGGTACACATGAAACGTAAGTGTCCCCAGCTGGGGCGTGGTTCCCCCCTGGTGCCTCCCATGGTGGCCTGGCTCATAGGGAATGGCCCGTGGTTCCTTTCTCCAGAGCCTTCCTGGGACCCAAGGACCTGTTCCCGTATGACAAGTGCAAAGATAAGTATGGGAAACCCAACAAGAGGAAAGGCTTCAATGAGGGACTCTGGGAGATCCAGAACAACCCTCACGCCAGCTACAGCGCCCCTCCGGTGAGTACTGTGGGGCTGGGGATGTCAGGGGGTGCATCTGCAGCGCCTGAGGCTGGAGGACACTTCCTCACCATGGGAACTTGGGGGACTTTTCCTTGACTCAGAGGAACAGAAGGTTCGAGGTCTGGGTCTCTCCCCCTTAGCACTGCGGACAGTGGGGGCCGGGTCATTCTCTGTCAGGGTGACCAGGTTGCTGGTCACTCCATGCCAGAAGCTCCCCTAGTTGTGACAGACGCATATGTCCCAAAATCACCCAGTGTCCTCTGGGGGTGGGGACAGAGGGCTGTAATACCACTTCTGGTAAGAGCTACTCCTTTGGCGTGGGCCTGAATTTCTAATGGTACTATTAGACTCTTATAAAACCTTTTATTTCCTAAGGAAAAACTTTCATTCAGTAATATCCTCGTCTTTCCTCTTCATTGTCACATCTCGAATTCAGGAGAGCAGGCAGTAGTTTGTTGTCATGAGTGTTCTTAGTCACATGGAAAAAAATGGCAAGAATCATAGAGCTGATGGCGTCTCCGTGGCACAGCAGTGTCTGGAGACGTTCTGGGAGAGGAGGGATTAGAACCGTTGCTAGAAGGCCAGAGAAGGCATGAAGCGGGTCCTGCGCTGGGTGTTTCAGGGTGAGATGGGGGTGGGAAAGCTGCGCTGGTGTTCTTGGCTCCGCTTTGAACTTCTGCTTCTGAGGTTTATGGGGGAGGCTGAAGGAAGGGCAGGAGTAGCCCTGGCCTAGGACAGCCAGGCATGACATTGCCCGGTGGTTCAGGGAATGGATCACAGTGAGCAAGAGCTGGGCAGTTAGTGAGGACAAGGACACAGAATTGTCCCCGGGGAGACGGGCCAGCCCATGGGTTCCAGCGTAGCTTCATAGTGCCTGGTGTTCTTCAGGACTCCAGTCTTTCGGTGATCTGAGTGAACCTGTCTTTCATCTCAGCCTGAGCTGGCTGGCACTGGCGAGCGCCCCCCTGTGGACTCGTGGACGTTTCTGTGTTGACACTGCCACATGTTTTCAGGAGCTCCTGTCCCGGAATTTGGGGTTCACTCAGCCGCTGCCTCCTGAGCACTGATGGTTTGAGAGCCACTTGTCCCCAGTTGGTGCTGTTTACTCTTTGTTACTTGTTACTCGGATGTGTTCAGGAGACTGCGGTTTTGCCAGCCAGCATCTTTTCCTAGGCTGTGCATGTCCCCAGCCTGACTGAGGTGATCGAAGGATCTTTAAGGCAGTTGAGTTTCATGAGCTCCTTTTCTGTCCCTGGCCCAAGGTTTCTTTGGTTACATCCTAAGTGTATTACCTCCTGGTGAATCATTGCACCATTTAATATTTATTGGACACCCACAGCTGGCTAAGTACATATGTGGCTGCCCTCAAGGAAAGAAAACTTGGAATTAGCGCACCCATGAGACTAAACAAGCCCCCTGCAGATCCACCAAGCTGAGAAGTAGCTGTAGTTGAACTGCTGCTCTTTGGGTCTCTAATCTGTACATTGGTCCAGATGGCACAGTGTTAAGGTGTGGGCCGGCCCCTGGCCCAGCAGGGGTAGCGTGGATGGAGCCTGCAGCCCTTGCAGTTTCCCTTGGCAAACCTAGCCCTGTGCTTCTGACGTAGGCAGTGCTTAGGCAGGCATTGGAAGTGTGGCTTATGGGAAACTGTTTTAATACTTCAAGCTTTTTTGTTTTATGCTTATCCAGGCTTCAAAAACTCAAAAGTATAAATGGGCATTCAGTGAAGGTGGCCCCCAAAAAAGCAATCTTGCTTCCCATTCTTGCCTCCTGGTTTCTGTTTTGTTTTCCTCTCAAGATTGCCACGGTGGGGCCGGGGATTTAGCTCAGTGGTTTTGCTGCCTGCTGCGCAAGCGCAAGGACCCAAGTTCAATCCCTGGTACCAAAAAAAAAAAAAAAGATTGCTACAGGGCCGGGGATTTAGCTCAGTGGTTCCGCCTTTTGGTTCCTACAGCAATCCCGAGAATGACCATTGTACAGGTGGGCAGACTGAGGCCTGGAGAGTTTGCTTGAATACCAGAGGAGCCTAGCTAGACCCCAAGGCCCCTTAGGGTTGGTCCTTTATAATAGTAACTGTGGTGTACCATGTTCTGAGCAGCATCCCTGGCCTCCCCCTGCCAGCTACCAGTAACATCTGCCGGTCTCACCTTCAGTCCTTACAGCCAGAATGTGTCTCAGCATTGTCACATCCTTCCTGGGGGGCAGTGTCACTTGGGGTTCACAGTCATTGACATAGAAGGACCCCATTTAATGTTTCCTTGTCCCTTGGTAGTGAAGATGTGAAGGGACCAGTCCAGGGCTCTCAAGTTTGTTGGCAACAAGGCGGAGCGGAACCAAAGCCCGGGCCTCCCGACTGCCTGGCCAGGGTTCTCTTCCTCTGTCTGAGACCAGCTGGGGACAGGGTTAGGAGGATGTAGGTCTGAGGCCAAGAGTCCTGCTGTGAGGACCAATGTGTTCATGTGCTGGGGGCTGTGAGAGTACCATGTCTGCCTCTTGAAAAGTATCCAGGAGCCAGGGAGGAAAAGCAGTAATGCTCAGTGTGTGATAAAGGTCATCACCGGGTCTGACCTCTTCTCCACCACAGTCCCCACCAGAACTGCTCAGATGAGCTGCTTCTCACACCCCATTGAGTCCTGGTGTGCTAGGAAGTGGCTGGCTTTGGCCTTTTGTTTCTGGGTTCTTGTCTGTCCTGCCAGCATTCATGTCCTCCAGGCCTGTGCATGGGTGACATAGCCCAAAACCTTTGCTGGAAGGAAGTTCCAAGACACCCAGGGATCCTGGCTGAATCCCCACTTAGGCCAAGTCCCTGACTCCCTGGAGCCTCAGTTTCTCCAAGGAGCATCCACCTCCTTCCCAATAGATGGACAGAGAGTGGAGGCATAGATCAGATCATGCTTAGTTAAGGGCTTGGCTTCTCTCGTCCTTATTCACTCTGTTCTTAAGCTGTTACTCAACTGCTCTCAGATTGTGTCTTCATCTGCAAACTCAGGATGCTAAGCCAGGTGTGGTGGGTCATGCCTGTCATCCCAGCACTCTGGGCAGCTGAGGCAGGAGGATCTCAAGTTGAAGCCCAGTCTGGACCTTGATTTGAGACTTTGTTTGCAAATAAAAAGTAAAGAAAAAACAGGCTGGGAATGTAGCTCAGTGGAAAGACCCTGGGTTCTATCCCCAGTACTGCAAAACAAACCAAAAAAAAGTAAAATGTCAGGATAATAATTCCCACCTCTTCATAGAGAGCAGTGTATGACAAGCTCCGCATCACTTGAGGGTCACTCTTAGAACCGTGATACCGACCTGCTCCTTCTGCAAAAGGTACTTGGCCCAGCTCTTGGGCACTCTCTCTGAGCTGCTGTTCCCCTTGTGACAGAGGGGTGCCGTGCTCTCTCTCTGCCACCAGCGATGCTGATGCTGATGCTGGAGAGAGACTGGCAGCTGTGGAGGAAAGGTGTGAATCTGCTTGAAAGCGTTATTCTCTCCTGGCACCTTCAGCTTGCACTGTGACCTACTTAAGTATTATCCTTTTTAATCTTGTCAGAAATTACACAGGCAGGGCCCTGTCGCTGTGCCTGAGGGCGCTAGGCCACAGTGGCACAAGGGAGACAAAGAGTGTTCCAAGCTGGGAGGTCAGTTCAACACCTGGTTCTCATTTTTCTCCGGTGTTAAGCAGGGATTGTTAGAGTCTGTGAGGGCGGGAGCCTGGGCTCCTACTGCTCCCCTTGGTCGGGGAGGATGGGGTTTATTCCACGGGGAGCCTTCAAGGGTCGGGAGCTTGAGTGGAGCTGGGGTTCCCTCCTCCAGCCCAGGTCCTCATCCCGCCCTGCCCTGCGTATATCCACAGAGATGCACTGCTGCAGGACCTCACTTTCAGCATCTGTCCACCTTCCTGCCACGCAGCTTCCTTCCCCTGACTCCCAGTGGGGACACCTTGGCACACACATGTCTCCTCTATCCCATTCCTGGTTCCACAGTCCGTTTCTGCCTTGAAATGCCTCTCACGGAACCTCGTGCTGTTTTTATTCTCCTTGCTTTTTCCTGGACAGCAAGCATGTCCCCCTCCCATCCCTTCCATGCTGACTATAATTACACCAAGACAATATGCCTTTTTTTTTTTTTTTTGG